GAAACAGTTAATGCTGGTTCTGATAGAAAGGCGTCAAAACACACAGTGCAGAGCAGTTTGCTGTGTATGGCTGATTGGAGTATATTTGTGAAACAGAACTTCATTTTTTTCCATCTTTTTTTTCATGTTTCCTTTTAAACATCTCAAAACATCCCAAATTTATTTGAAAACCTCCAGAAGGGGCCTGACCCCTACACCAACCTGGCTGGATGTAACTACCTAACTGTATTTACATTAAAGCAGTTCAAACTAGCTCCACCTGAACCAACTGCAGCAGTAACATGCATCAGTATTAACAGTCTGTCTCGTTTTTCTGCAGATTTAATAGTTGTTTTTGTACTTTAAGCAGGTTTACATGTTGCTGACAATACTTGTACTATTAAGTATCATTTTGAATGATTTTTACTTGCAGTGGAGTGTTTTAATGTTACTTTTAGTATTTGTACCTCTGATGTATGCCTATCACTTCACTATTATTAATGATGCATTTTCATGTAGTAGCTGTTCCACATATAAAAAGATTTTAACATATATTGTATTAAATCTTTACAATATTTACAATATGTTGATTTTGCTGTTGCATGCTGCTGTCTGTTTTTAACGTTACACATATTTAATTATAAATATTAGGATATTTAAAAGAAATAGGTAAAGCAATGTGAGGCTGTTTGCTGCTTTCAACTATTTTGAGACTTTATCTAAGGTTTTAGCATCTTTCAGCACAGTTCAGGTCAATGTTTGGACATCACACAGTTGTTAGTGACCTGATGGTGAAAACACCTTCTGTATTTGCACCAACTATTCCCACAACTACTCAACTTATGGCTGACATTTATAATCCTTCCTAAATGTTACATTTGATATTAATTAAATGCATTTGGACACTGCTTATATTGTTAAAGGCCAACTACACAATCTGAATGAAAACAACTATAAACAATCAACAGGAACGCCAGGTTTAAATAAAAAAATTTATTATGAATCAGGAGATGCCATGGCAAACTGATACACTGAAGTGGAGCTCTGTCCTAAAAAACAAAAATAAACTGGTTTTTTTTTATCAAACAGAAAAGAAAATGATGTTCAATCTGGAACTTGTCTTCCCCTTTTTTCAAGGAGACTTTGTCACAACAGTGTAACAAAAAAACAAAATCACACAAGCAGTCTCTCAATCGCCATCTGAACAGACTGAATCTGCGGTTTGAGCTGAGATCCCTCCTTTATGGTGACTGAGGTAGCGATAACGGGGCGAGACACCCCACAGGCCCGACCCAAGGCCTGCTTGGAGCGGACAAACACGTACGGGACGTTCTTGTCCTCACAGAGCAGCGGCAGGTGGAGAATGATCTCCAGTGGTTCAGCATCAGCAGCCATCACAATGAACTCTGCGATGCCTCTGTTCAGGGTTTTAGTGGCTGGGGAAGAAGTAGATCACTGTTAGTAATGGAATTATTACATATATTATGTTTATTTTATAAGCATTTTGCCAGCTTTACTTTGATAGTCTAATGATTTTAGGACTGATTCTGAAATACAACAGATCACTTTATAGCTCATTACCCTCGATTGAACACAGAAACAACATACTAATCCTAATATTTGAGAAGATGTAACAGCAAACAATTGGGAATGTTGCTTTAAGGAATGATTAAAGACCTACAGTGAATTTACTTTTAGAGATCAGGATCTTTTAAATACCCTCATTTGAGACGCTTTAAAGTAAACCCGGGTTGTGTTGTGACACCACGTTTCACAGGCATGTAATCAGATTACCAGCTTGTATTATGAAACCACAGACAAGTTACATTTTAAGAAGCGTGTTCGCTCACCTTCATTAGCCCCCTTCCTCAGCTGCTTGTAGTTGGACGCTTGCTGCACCAGGTCCAGGATGGTTTTGGTCAGCGTGGCGTCGGCCAGCGGGTAGGCCTTTGGGTTCACTTGAGCTTCAGTCTGGGAACGGGCAAATTAAACAGATTAAAACCAAACTGACCACAGGAACGAAAGTGAGCATATAGAGTGAATGAAACAGGAGCCTGTTATGAGTTAAAGCTTAGCTCGCTCCGCAGCCTCACGTTACTTCCTTCAGCCTGCTAATAGTTAGCTCGCCTGTTAGCTCCAGAACCAAAACTCACCATTGTGAATGGGTTTTCTGGTATTCCGGCCCTCTCGGCGAAGTGCTTCACGGAGGACTATTTTCTTTCACCTGTGGTTAAAAGGGCAACAATGTATGTTTTCTGAGAGTTATCTTTTGTTATTATCTTTTAAAGCTTTACGGACTGTCTCCTCTCTGTCGCATGCAGCAGCTCCAGACGATCACCGCACGTGTGTGGTACCGCACATGCGCACTGGGGTCCGAGCTAACGACAGGAAGTGTGTGTGTGTGTGT